CTAGACAGGGTATGGCTATCATTCTCCTTAGATGTCCCTGAATGACCTTGTTCGCCATCGGGTCTTCCAGAAGAACTGGCAGGTTGGGTGGCGTTTCTATTGATGCTTGAAGTCAGAGGAAGTGCGTGGCAGGTTGAACTAAGAGGCCTACGCTGCAGAAGCCTGCCCAATAATCACATCTTGATTCAGAGCCATGCCGCCCTCCACGTGGGCCTGGGCCACATGCTTTTTTTTTTTTTTTTTTAATGGTAAAATATTTATTTCTGCAAGACTTTTGAGGGGCTTCCACTTTCTTTTACTTTTCTGTATTGGTTGAACTTACTATATAGCACATATTACTTTGATGATCAAAATCTGGTAGCTAGATCATTTTTTTTTAAGTTTATTTATTTTGGGGAGAGAGAGAGAGACAGAGTGAGTAGGGGAGGGGCAGAGAGAGAGAGAGAGAGACAGCGAATCCCTAGCAGGCTCCACACGGTCAGCACAGAGCCCGATGTGGGGCTCGAACCCACGAAAGGCGAGATCATGGCCTGAGCTGAAACCACGAGTTAGATGCTTAACCGGCTGAGCCACCCAGGCGCCCTAGATCATTTTAAATTAGTCATTTTTTTCTTTCTTCCTTTCCTGGTTTTCTTTCTTTCTTTTTTTTTTTTTTTTTTTTTTGGCTTCGAGTCAGATCAACGTTCTGTAAGGGCTAGTCTCCCAGTGACCTAAGACACAGAACTGATGAAGAACCTTATCTAACTCAATTCCAAATATCTGAAACTGTTTCACTCAGGCCACCCTTGGAGAGGAACCGAAGATAAGAAAACAGTTTGGAGAATCTGTGATGTCTGCCGAAGACCCATGGTTCTGAGACAGTCACCTTGCACACGTCCGTGGCCCAGGAACCCCACAGCCACAGGCCAATGGCCAATGTGGGGTCCTGGAGGCCATGATCAAGAAAAACAAACAAACAACAAAAAGACATTCACTAAATATCAAGGCAGGAAACACAAGGAGGAAACACCTAAAGAACAATTTTGAAAAACCGTTCAAAACTGGAAGGGGTTGCTGTGCAAGACGTCAATTCTGGAAAGCGCGGCCGGATCCTTAGACACTGCCTTCCACCGACTAGGGATGCGTGCACACGGATGCCCACTCCTCTCTTACTTCTGAGATTCTCCTTCTCCGAAAGCCTCTGGCCACGTTTTGCAGAAGACTCTGCAGCAGGGGTGAATTTCCAAAGCAGTTTTTTTTTTTTCCTGGTTAGCCTTCAATTAACCAGAAAATCAAATTAATTGTGCATGAAGTTCTATTTCCAGGACACAGGCTGACCCATGGAATATGCAAATCTGGGTAAAAATAAGTCATGTTCAAGTGGGGGCTCTCTCGTGTTTGTTTTAGAGCGGGGAAGAATGGAAAAACAAGACAGTGAGGGCCCAGGGCCAAAGAAAATGCTATATTTAGACGTGAAGGGCTTTGTTTGGCCCCGATACCAGTGTAGACACAGCCAGTCAGGAACAAGGGGGCCATTCAATCAATCCACCTGACACGCTACTGTCGCCGGCCTGTGCGTTCCACGGGCACCGAGCTCAGAACCATCCTGAAAGGGGCTGTCGGCTGGGAGGCGGTAACAGCTGGTCCGTGGCAATTAACCGGCAGTTTCTGTTGCTGAAGGAGATTATTTTGGATGGCGTAAAGAGATTCAAATAAAAATGTCAACGTGCCCATTATGGATGAAAGTTAGAAAAACTTAAGTGGCCCCGAATTAATCACTATGTGACAGCGAGGCACGTAAATGAGTACCGAAAATCCTCCGCAAATCTGTTTTCCTGCCTTTTTGGTAATCGTAAAGAAGCTTGCTGGGGGGTGTGGGGAGGGCATTTCTCGGCTACAACCTTAATTCATCTCGGAGTGACGATTTAACGACAAAGTCACAAGCCCTTAAAGCAGCATTTATTGAGGGGCTAATGAGCGTCCCTAAGAACTCTGTGGAAAAAAGAAAAAAAAATAAAGGCAGCCACCAAACATAAGAGGCCTTTGAAAATACCGAAGAGAGGGGAGTTCATTAGGCTTTTTTTTTTTTTTTTTTTTTCTTCCCTTTTCTCAACAATGAAGATTTCTGCTGCCAAACCTTCAGGAGTAGGGTTGGTTTCCTTTCAAGTAATTGATGCAGATTTGGCTTCTGCACGGAGTCCAGACAAGCTCTCCAACGAGAAGCAGGAAATCACACCGTCAAAGGGAAACTGTGCATTCCTTCCTCCCTGGCTGGGTCGGCCCTCACAAACACTGGATTTATGCTGCCTTGCCAAACTGCCTCTGATTTCCATGCCCTCCCACGGCTAAGATAACGGACGCTGCCTTCGGCCTCTGCGAGAGGCACTTACTTAAAACTCCAGCTACGCGGTAACAAAACCGGCTGCTGTCACCCCAAATCGAGCAAATGAGCTCCTGTCCTACAGCATAAAAGGTAAGAGAGTTATTGAATGTTCCCCGCGGGGAAGCCCCCATTCCTTCTTGCCCTCTCCTGGCACCCCCCCCCCGCACCTCCTGGAATCTTCTAGGCCCTCTCGCCTCCACTCCTCCTTCTGTCTCCGGGAGCACAGGAAGGAGTAGCTGGAGCCAGTCTGTTCTAAACAGATCAAGTTTTCTTAAGTCAGGGCTTTTCTTCTTTTTTCAGTCAAAGTAGAAGTGGGAAGGAATGCTGTGAAGAAAATAGAAACTGGCAAAGCGCTTTAACTTCAAATATCTTCTGGTCAGTGCTGATGCACAGACCTATTGCTGTTCCCGGCAAGTAAATACAACTGAACGGTTCTGGGAAGTGGGGAAGAAATGGGGCGGGGGTGGGGGTGGGGAAGGGAGAGGCCGGCCGCAAGCCCCCAGATGTGAAACAGGTATCGTGACTGCTGCTCGCTCAAGTCGAAGAGAATCATGTTTTTTTTGGAGCTATTATCCCCAAGGAGTCTCGAAAATGATCTGCAACATGCAGTGAAACTGACACGCAGAAAACATGCGTATTTAGGAAGTATTCCCGGTGTGGTTTGTACGTAGCCAAAACATTCTGTTTCTCGCGGGGTAGAAAAGAAAGTCTGCACTCCAACTGCCTCCATTTGGAGAACCCGTTTATTAAAATGCCATTTTCCGTGGCTGTGTTAATGCGCGATCCGCATTTGTACGCTATTTGTACGCTACACCCCTGCTTGCGAAGGTCTACACCCTGTGGCACAACACCGGCGCTTGAGGAGGCCAGATGGCTAATTCTGAAAGAACTGTCTGCTCGATATCACCCAGGAAGGACTCAGACTTATTCACCCCTCACTGGGGCATGTCTGTATGTCGGAGAACATCTCTTTAAACACAGTCACATCCTGAAGGCTGCGCATCGTCCTTGTTTCTTCCGAAGTTGACAAAATTCAATTGGCCTCGTTTAAATGGATTTTTTTTTTTTTTCAGTAGCATATAAGCAGTCCTCAGTTCCAAAAGGGAAGCTCGACTGGGGACTGCCGGCTAAGGTCACAAGGGAGAAAACACTCTTGCCGTCTGTCTTCGGGGCAACCGCGGCGAAGACGGACGGTGTCCAGGGTCCCTAGTAAGGAGAATTTTCATAGTGATTATATACAATCTGTTAGGATCGTAGCACCTTTCACTTGTGTGCCAAACTGTAGAGTAACACTTGGCATCCACTTTTTCAGTTAAACCAGACAACACGATTTCAAGAGGGCCAATAGGCACTGATCTACACTGACCACACTCCAAGAGCTCAGAGAGGTTAATCAACGTGCCAGGTTCACACGACGGGTCTATGGAAGAGGCAGAACTCAAACCGGAACGGACCTGCACGCAAAGCTTTGTTCTTAAACACGGTGCTGGTCTGCCCCTTGCTCCGCTACTTGGCTGTATTCACACTTGGCTGACTTTGCGGTCACCCTTTCTTCTGTCCACTCTGGCCTGCCCAACACATAACCCTGCGCTCCAGAAGGGAGGCAGCGTACCCCTGGTCATTAAGAGTTGACGGGCTGGGCTCAGAATGCCTGGGTTTGAAACCTGGCTCTGTCATTTACCTACGGGGCGACCCTGGGCGTGCTTCCCCGCCTGTGAATGGGAATATGGGAGATTTCCACCTAATACGGTTGCTGTAAAAATAAAATGGGCGAAAATATTTCAGTGGAGGATCGTCTGGGGTGCCTAGCGCCACCACGCAGCTAAGGCGAGGGAGGGAAGGCAGGCAGGGAAAGAGGGAGTGGGAGGAAAAGAAGAAAAAAGAAACGAGAAGAGAGGAGGAAAGGACAGAGGAGCGGAGAGAGAAGGAAGAGAAAAGAAAAGAAAGGGAGGAAAAGGGACACAGGTTGGAAGACAGAAAAGAAAGAACAGGGGAAAGAGAGCAAGGAAGGAAAGAGGAAAGGAAAAGAAAGCGAGGTGAGGCCGAAAGGAAAGAAAGAAGTTAAGAGAAAAAGGGAGAGAGAGAGAGAAAGGGAAAAGAAATGAACGCCAAAGGAAGGGGACGTGTTCTACTCACTGGGTCCCCACGGAAGGAGGGTCATCACCCACAGGCGATGGTGGAGCGAGGGACGAGCATCTCAAGGCCTCAGACAAGCCTAGTGGGCAGCCCCCAGGGCCTCTCCCACTGTTCACCGACTCAACACCCTTAGCGTTAACCCTCTTCCTGCACAGCCTCGTCCCCCCCCCCGCAAGCTCCCGAGGCGGTGCCAACGGCTTCCCAGCCTCGCCGTCCTGCGGGGGTGAAACCGTCCTGGCCCAGCCTTCTCCGCGCAGGTCGGGTCACGTGACCACCCCCGAGCCAATCACCAAGACCCAAGGCATACCGCCTGCCGATCGGCTTTCTGGCCTCACGCGCTTCACCCTTGCTCAGGAGCCGAGTCCCACGGACTGCAAGGTGGAAGAGGGAACGATTCCGTGGAGGGACTTGGGGTGCAGTTGCCCAGAGCAGAATGCACGTGGGAGCGGCAGGTTGCTGTCTACCGCGGGCGAAACTTGCCTGCTGAGAGCATCCCCCCCCCCCCCCCCCGCCCCCCTCCTAGACGATCCCTTGTTTCGGTGTCGTTGGTGTGGTTCCGGGACTTGAGCGCTTGGGTTTGACTCTTGGCTTCATCGCTGACTAGCTGTGCGACCCTGGACGGGCTGATCCACCTGTCTCTGCTTCCGTTTCCCTTGTGAATGGGGTCAGCGATCGATCTTCCTCACCGATGGGCAAGTACTACCGTGTTCGGCCTAATGTGAACGCGTACTCGGCACCCAACACATTTTCGCCGTTGGATATTCGAAGATGGTTTGGTGAGCACCCGGGAGGCACCAGACCGGCTTGGGTGGGTGGGACACACTGGAGAACAAGACGGAACGACGGCAGAACCTTCGACCTCCTAGACCTAATATTCTCGGGCGGAAGGAGGCCGTGCCCGAAAGAATGAGATAGTCCCACGGAAGTTAGGGAGAAGCGGTATGGAGAAAAAGAAAGCAGGTCAGGGCGGAGGGGATTTCAAGAGCAGCGGTAGTGGGGGGCACGTAAGCCCAGATTTGGAGGGTGCGGTGAGTTAAGCCAATAGGATATGGGGCAGTGGGGGGTATTCCAAGAAGGGGGGGGGGCAGGCAGTGCAGAGCCCCAAGGTAGGAGCGTGCCTGGAGTTTCCGCAGCAAGGGGACCAAGGTGGCTGGAGGGAACAAGAGAGGACAAGAATTGGGAGATGTGAGGGGCGAGGCAAGAGAGGAGATCAGGAGGGGCCCCGGGGGCACCCCGGGAAGACTCGGGATTTGCCTCTGAGGGAAGTGGGAGAGCGGATGTGACTTTGTGCAGGGCTCGTGGTGGCCCCTGTGTTGAATGCCCAGCAGTTCTGGCTATTATTGACTGAGGCTGTCTACATTTCAGTTCCGCAGTTGAGAAAGCAAGGGCGTTGTAAACTCCTTGTAAGGATCGCAGGGGGATCCTCCCAGAGCCAACCCGCCAAGGGGAGGGAAGCCCGGCTCTTATCTGAAAAATCGGATGCCCCTCCAATGCAGTATGGGTGCCTTTTCTCTGCCGAGCCTTCCAAAGAAACAGGACCGAGGGCGGGGCAGGTTCTGGATGTTTTAGCCTCATTCAATATTGTAAATGACTCCGCCTGATTTCGGTACCTCACTCTGTGCCGGGTCAGGTTTGGGCTTTCTTTGCAGAGACGAGAAGAAGAGAAGGTCCCCTAGTGAGAAGTGTAGGACAGAGGGACTGTACCACCCGTGAGCCTTGCAGACAGTCCGGCCCGCTGCACGTTTGGGACGGAAATCCGGTGGAGACGGCTCAGACGAGAAAGATGCCCACTAAAATGCTTAGGCTCCTCGTCTCCCAGAAACCATTAAGGCGTCTCATTTGCAGTTTGTCTACAATCTTTTGGGCTCATTGAAGCTTCCAGGTAGTGTCATCTGTGAACGCTAATAAATCCCGTATGTTTGTTTTCCTACCTTTTGGTCTTTTTCGAAACTGTGTTTAGTTAAAGTATGCTATTTATACAGACACGTGCACGGATCCTATTGTACGGTTAGGTGAATTTTCCCCAAAGTGAACAGCCCGATGTAACCAACACCTGCGGCCTATAGAACATTGCCAGGACCTCAGAGACCCTTCCAGTAGAAGCCATTATTCTGATTTCTAATATGATAGAATAGGTCGGGCTTGTTTTTGTTTTTTTTTTAACTTTATTTAAATGAAACCCTATATGAATTTTTGTATAGCTATATGAAACCCTCTATTCACTTTATATAAATGAAATTCTACGGAACATCTCTTGTATTAACTTCTTTTGCTTCTGTCGTTTGTGAGATTCGTCCATATTGCTGGAGGTAATGATAATTCATTGATTTTTCTCGCCATGTTCCATTTTATGACTATATTACCGTTTCTATACGAACTAACTGACAGAATTGGGAGTTGTTTCTTTTTTTTTTTTTAACGTTTATTTATTTTTGAGACAGAGAGAGACACAGCATGAACGGGGGAGGGGCAGAGAGAGAGGGAGACACAGAATCGGAAGCAGGCTCCAGGCTCCGAGCCGTCAGCCCAGAGCCCGATGCGGGGCTCGAACTCGCGGACCGCGAGATCGTGACCTGCGCTGAAGTCGGACGCTTAACCGACTGAGCCACCCAGGCGCCCCTGGAGTTGTTTCTAATTTCTTACTATCATAAATAAAGCTGCTCCCTGTATCTCTTGGTGAACATCATTCATGCATTTCTCTTGGGTACATAAGGCCTAGGATGGAAACGTCTGGGCCATAGGGGGTCCATATGCTTGGGGTGAGTACATTGTGCTGAGCAGTTTTTTCTAAGTGGTTCCACCAATTGGACCTCTATCCACAGTGCATGAGAGTCCCCACTTCTCCACATTCTGGACAACGCTGGCATTTTCTGATTAGCCGTTCTGATATAAAGGGGCAGCTCACCTTTTGAGTTTGCAAACGATTATCTTGTCTTTCAACTATCAAACACTTTTTGGACTCCTCCTCTGTGCCGGGTTACTTCGGCAGACATCCGCACACACATCACTTCGCACAGCGACCTCGCCAGGCTCAAAGGCTTTATCGGACTTCCCGGGATCACGCACGTACGGTCTCGGTTCGGCCAGGACATGGGACTTTCAAATGCCAAACCCGGGAGAGCCCCTGAAAACGAGGCTGGTTGGTAATCCTACAGCCAAAAGACGCCAGAGCAAACATTCAGAGATTTCTTCACATCAAGTTTTCTTCTCTACACATTACGCTCTCGCTACTCAAAGTGAGGTCCCTGGACCAGTGACATCAGCCTCGCTCGAGAGCCAGTAAGAAAGGCAGTAGCTGAGGCGCCGGCACAGACTATCTGAATTCGAACTGGCCTTCCAGCAAGATCCCCACGGGCTGTGTTTGTGCCCTCACAGTTTGCCAAGCACTGCTCTGTGCCAATAGCTCTCAAGCTTGGTTGCACTTAGGAGCCACCTGGGGAGCTTTGCTGTTAACTGTGGCCCGGATCCCATCTCTGGAGGTTCTGATTTAGTTGGTCCGGGATGCGGCCTGGACAACGGGGATTTTCAAAGCCTCCTGGGCTATCGCCAAGTTCGAGAACCGACACCGTCGTCTATGCTACGCAACCTTGGATGGTATCCCTTTGTTGTAGTCTTTTCCGGATTTTATAAGCAAGTCTGCGATCACCTTTAGCTGCACAGTGGAAAGAATTTAAAGACTTCGGTCATCGTCTCGTTAGACAACACCCTCCCAGGGTGAGGCACCCAGCACGGGTCTTTGCTTTTTCCGCCCATCCTTCTCCCCTTGAATGAAAACCTTACAGCTCCCTTACAGTTCGGCGTGTAACTCACCCTGAGTGGATCTGATGGCCCGAGGAAGAGGAAAAAGGGTTCGGGCCTGTATAGCAGGCCAGAACTCAGTGACACAGACATCCTCCAACACCCACATGCTTGACAACACAGGCAAAACAGCCAGGCCACTGACCATTTCTTCTTTTCATCCCAGTGACCTGAGCTCACATAGCTGCGACCCACTTAAAGGCTAGTCCAGGCTAACAGCCTGTGGGCCACAGCGGCTCAGGGAAACGCTAGGCCCGAGATCCCGCCAGCCTTTGCTCGACAGACCCTGATGATTCCTTCATGGGGTAGTTTCCCGGACATGCCCTGGTTTTCGTGTAAGACGGTAAGGCCTCTGTGGTCTTCCACGTGCGGACCAAAGACTTCTGGATCCTCGGATGAAGAAATCCGGTCCTAGTGAGGGCAAAATATTTACATGTTGATTTAAGCTTGTCCATGAAGTTGGGGATAAGGAACACTTCCATCGAGAGAAGGGAGAAACAAAAAGTTCGGCGCTGCAGTGGCCTTTCGATGGTACCTATTTAGGTAGAAGAGACTCTTCCAGCACCTCCCCCCTTTCCCTTTCTTTTCCCTTGGATGATTTTGGGGAATCCTCAAGTTCCTAGTACAAAAACAATTGATAGTGTGTTACCCTGTTGGGGTGTGTGTGTGTGTGTGTGTGTGTGTGTGTGTGTGTTTGGAGGGAGAGGGTCAGATACTACAACAGCTGTCTAAAAAGTAGAATCACAGGGGCGCCTGGGTGGCGCAGTCGGTTAAGCGTCCGACTTCAGCCAGGTCACGATCTCGAGGTCCGTGAGTTCGAGCCCCGCGTCAGGCTCTGGGCTGATGGCTCGGAGCCTGGAGCCTGCTTCCGATTCTGTGTCTCCCTCTCTCTCTGCCCCTCCCCCGTTCATGCTCTGTCTCTCTCTGTCCCAAAAATAAATTAAAAACGTTGAAAAAAAAATTAAAAAAAAAAAAGTAGAATCACATAGCTCATCTCAAAACACTTCCCTCTACCTACAAATGTTTCAGTCTGTTATGTTGTAACATTATACAAAGGGATTTCCAATTTGACTTGGTATTTGCTCATATCTGCAAAGGTTGGTGCGTTCTGTTTCGAAATATTGTTTTGGAACAAAAGCTGTACTGTGGTTAAGTTTTGTAAAATGCAATATTTTGAGAAGACTTATAAATGCTGAGAAAAAATATACACAGAAGCATCTTCTGGACTCAGGAGACATTCTGGTGAGGCATCATTGTAATAATTAATAGATAGTTTTGTACACGTATGTACCCAGTGTGTATACTATGATCTTGGATAGTCCTAAGTGCTTTATACGTATTAGCATATTGATTTCCAAAGCCCGTTGGAACAAGTGTGTTGTTATTTGCCTTTGGCAAATTAAAAACGGGGTCCTGTAGTTGATAAGTGATGGAACCGGGATTCGACTCCAGGATGTCGTCTCGTGTCCCAGCGTGTGACTTCGTAGTTTTGGTCCTGGAAGTCCTGTGCCCTGGGCACCGCCTCAGCCCCAGGCATACCCGGACCATTCGTTTTCTCACCTGTAACACTAACCTCCTCCTGTATACAACTTCTTAGTCTTGGGATGTATTCATCTTCTTGCAATTCCAACACCACTGTCCGATCCAATAAGCATTTTCAACTATCCGCTGTGATCAAACAGCTCTTTGCCAGGTGCGACAGAGACCCAGAAATAAATAAAGACATAAACCCTACTTTTTAAGTCACTCGTAAGTACCCTAAAGGGAAGGAAATGTATGTTATTTCATCAAGAAGTCATGCGGTATCTTCAGCATGGTACCTGTACAAACACCAGATTTCAGTGTCAATGTGTGTGTAACACAGATATTGATTTGCAGGTGGCAGCACAATTAGTTACTATGACAGTGCAACACCTTTGTGAGAACAGTGTGGGGCTGGGGTGCTTGGACCTGCTCATCCATGCAAAGACTCCTTGTCAAATATTTTAATGAGAAGAAAAGCATGGCAGTCGTGATGAAAATCCAAGGTGACCTTGGGCTGGGCAACACATCGCCGATCACCTAGTGGTTTTTCAAGGTCTTTTTTGGCGGTGATGGCAATGGCTTGTTTGCAGAGTTAGTCTCTAGAGGAGGGAGAGGAGGAGAAACGGAGAGACCAGCTTACAGAGAAGCATCTTTGTCTCAACATTAGACATTCGTTCTAGCGAACACTAGATACCAGCATCTAAAGCCTGTTTGTCCTTGGTTAGGTTAAAGACCTTCCACTCCTTCAGTGGGGAGCCCACAGCCCCAAGCTTCTCAGTTGCGTCTCCGGGCTGCCGTGGCTCTGCATGAGCCCCTCCCTTGGAGTCTGCTCATGGGTCCCCATCGCCCAGAAACCTAAGGGTCAACTCTCAGAACAGCAGGGGGCCACCAGGGACTCCCTTCTGACTGGACAGGGGTCTGTCCTGTGAGTTACCATTTTGAATATCAATTCTACGCACTCTGGTAAACTCCGAATAAATTCCCCTTTCTACTTCAGCGGATAGTGTCCCCTTCTGTGTTTGCAATCCAAAGCCCTGGCCCATACGTGCACTCGTATACGTTTAATTTTACGCAGGCTGTGTTTAAGGAAAGATCCTTCCCTGTTTCTGTTGTATTTTGCTGCTTCTCCAGGTGGGGGTTTCACCATGTTGAAACACACAGAAGTCCCCTGCCTGTGCCTGCCAATATCAGAAATTCTATTACTTCTCTTCTCTCTTTGGATTAAGGTACAGACTCTAAAACATGTTTTCGAGCTATGTTGAAGCCACATTAATCCAGAGTACTTTATCAGAGATTACTTTTAAAAATTGGCCAGTGCTTACCTGGGAAAGCAGAGCATGGACGGAATGGGAGCCTCCGAGGGGCCACAGGACCTTGGTACTTGCTATTTCCTCTGCCTGGGAAACAGAAATTGTTCATATGCTCTGATCATGGTCAATGTAATCTTGTTTTGATTTTCCTTTCTCCACCTCCCACATCAGTAACACTGGCTCCCTAAATTGGTAGAAGGTAATGGAATAAGGATGAGGAGGAATTGTCAGAGAGAGAGACAGAATAGGCTGAAAAGTCTCCCCTAGTGATTTGGATATCAAACCCTTTCCTTCCTTTCCGACTGAGAAACTCTTGAGTCAACAGAACGTTATTGCAAAATTTTTGATC